CACTTAGATTACTTTACCAAAATCTGTGAAATTTTACCGAAATCTCAACTGCTGAACGTTCGGTAAACAGTTCGGTGATTTTTCACAGTTTTCCTGTAATTTTTAAACGAATATCTGTGAAAAATCGAAGAAAATCTGTGAAAAATCACCTAACTGTTAACCGAACGTTCAGCTGTTGAGATTTCGGTAAAATTTCACAGATTTCGGTAAAATAATCTTAGTGTGTGATTTTGGGAATCGAAAATCACACCTGACATTGATCAGATGATATTGATCTTGAAAGATAGCTGATTTTGATTTTCTGATCTTGATTTTAGCCAACACTGCTTCCAGTGTACCAAAATTTATTAAATTCTGGATTTTGGTTCCATTTTGAACGCAGATTACGAATATGTAATCATCTGAATTCCCCTAAACAACCCAATTGGGTTCTTAAAGGGTATTGAGGGCAGGGCCCAACAAAGTCACTTTCTTTCGACCAAGACGAACCATCACTTTCAATTGAAAGTCATACTGTCTTGTCTTCGAACAGATCCCCTTCAACATCAACAGAACCCCTTTCGATCAGTTTTCATACTATTTGATTTGGCTTCACTCGTGTTCATTTCGTCTTTCATTGACAAATGAATTTACGTTCACATTAAAGCGAAGCTGTTCGATCCAAATTTATGATTGTAGGGCGGTTTGTTCACTCCGAATCGGGATGACGTCTAAATATCGACAATCGATATTTAACGCCATTTTAAAATCCAAGATGGCGGCTTCCTGTTTTAAAAAAATCGGAAAATACTGTCAAATACCCATTAATAAGGTATTTTTGAACCGGTATGTCGTCTAGAGGCTAAAAATTGATATCCGACGCCATTTTGAAGTCCAAGATGGCGGCTTGCGATTTAAGAAATAGTGGGAAATACTGTCAAATACTCATTAATATAGATATTTTTTTAATCGAGTTGACGTCTAGAGGCCGAAAATCGTTATCCGACGACATTTTGAAATCCAAGATGGTGGCTATCGATTTCAGAAAAAAGGTGGGAAATACTGATGTCGACCCATTAATATGGGTATTTTTGGGATCGGGGTGACATCTAGAGATCGATAATTGCAATGCGACAACTTTTTGAAAATCAATATGGCAGCTTCCAGTTGAATAAAAGGGGGGAATTGTTGACAAATACCCATCAATATAAGTATTTTTGGAATCGGGATGATGTCTAGAGAACGAAAAGCGATATCCAACGTCATTTTGAAATCCAAGATGACTGCTTCCGATTTAAGAAAAGTGGGAAATTCTGTCGAATACTTATCAATATGGGTATTTTTTTAATTGGGATGACGTCTTGAGGCTCAAAATCGATATCCGACGACATTTTGAAATCCAAGATGGCGGTTATCGATTCCAGAAAAAGTGGCAAATACTGATGCCAACCCATCAATATAGATATTTTTGGAATCGGGATGACGTCTAGAGAATGAAAAGTGATATCCAACGCCATTTCGAAATCCAAGATTACGGCTTTCGTTTGATGGAAAGTGGGAAATTCTGTCGAATACCCACTAATATAGGTATTTTTGGAATCGGGATGACATCTAGAGAATGAAAATTCATATTCAACGCCATTATGAAATCCAAGATAACGGCTTCCGTTTTCTGAAAAAAATGGGAAATACTTATGCCGACCCATGAATATGGGTATTTTTTGAATCGGGGTGACATCTAGAGATTGGAAATCGATATTCGACGCCATTTTGAAATACAAGATGGTGGCTTCTGATTTCAGAAAAAGTGAGAAATACTGTAAAATACACATCAATATTTACACTTTTTCTGAAACCCGATGGCCACCATATTGGATCGGATATCGAATTTCGGCGTCAACGCGTTGTTGCCGTTCCGAAAATACCCACATAGAGCCTGTCAGTTTCACTTTCAGAGTGTCGCAGTCAGCGGTCGCAGTCGTTCATTGTGGCTGCAAGTGGATCTCGCGGGTTTTGTGTGTCGGACACTTGCTTTTTGGCCTTTTCTTGTGTCTAACATGTGTAGAGTATCATTATAGCGTCTAATAGTTTTGAGATTCCTCGTTGCGTGAAATATAGTTGTGAGAATATCTTTTTAAGATTTTAGTAGTCACTTTTTGTTTGTAGTTTATATTTTATTTCTTTCAAGTAATTATCGTAAATAATAGTTATTCAATAATAGATAGTTCATCCATATATTCGTACTTTGTCGCGAAGCGCTGTGGATTATGAGATGCTCGATGACCCTGGAGGGATAGATTTTGCTTACTGAGCAGAAAATCATGGATTTAACCCCAAGCTCTTCCACAGCACAATAAATCGCCACCATCATTTTTATATTTGATATTGAACATTAACTTCGGAAACTATTTGCATATCAAGCGAAAACGTAGTCCTGTATTGTCGCAAAGCGTTATGATTCTGAGATGCTCGATGACCCTGGGGGGACCGTTTTTGCTTACTGTGCAGAAAATCATGGGTTTAATCCCAAGCTCTCCGTCATGACTCTTAAAATTCATGATCACTAAACACAATGAATATGTTCTTTCGATAGCCGGCTATCGAGAGATTAAATAAACAACAAATAAACAATACATACTTTTGGTTGCATCGCCAACTTGAGGTGAATCCTAACCGAATACCCTACACAACCCTCCAACTCCGTAGCACTTATGAGGGTGTCGCTAAGTCGGTGGCCTCTCGTTAAGTAAGTACTACATCAACATTTCCTTCCCTATCCCTTCTTCTTCGCATTTTAAGCTTATTGCATATCGCATATTAGCTTATTGCGTGCTCTCAACTTAGTGTTCTAGATGCACTTCCATAGTTATTAATTGAGAGCTTTCGATGCCTGTACCATTTTTGCATTGATATGATTGTGTGGCAAGTCCAATCATACTTCTATGCCCAAGGAAGTCGAGAAATTTTCCAACCCGAAAAATTCCTAGACCGGACCGGGAGAATTGAACCCAGCCACCTCCAGCATGGTCTTGCTTTGTAGCTGCGCCTTCACCTACTGAGCTAAGGAAACTATGCCTAGTTATAGTAAAGATGGGCGTGGCCAGGAATAGCGACAGTCATGCTTCTGCTACTCTTGTTTAGATTGGAACCAATGTATACTCCCCAGCAATATTCCTGAAAGTAGTCTAACTGAGAATTTTAGAAAAGACGTGAGTATCGCTAGTATCCAATCTACGAAGTATATCATAACAGCGGTAACGCTAACGTAACGCGTTGTTGCCGTTCCGAAAATACCCATATCTAAGATATTCTGAAAACTGATTGCCGCCATCTTGGATTCCAAAACGGTGTTGGGCATCGATTTTCGACACCTTCGCGTCGTTCCCGTTGAGACCGATGGCCACCATCTTGGACTTCAGAATGGCCTTGTTAATTTAATTTTCATTTTATATAAAATAACAATTTATTACTTTCAAAGTGTTTTTTTTTTATGTTGCTCCATACGCGAAGTTAGCGATTTTCAGAGTTGGTTGGAAATGCTAACATGAAGCTTTAGTGTGATAATTTATAAGCTAGAGAATGATCTTTAGAAGAGGGTAGGTGGATAGTTCCGTTAGAGTACGGCAGTATGAAAATTGAATTGAAGTTGAAAATGAGCGAAGGGCCATAAATGCGACAGTTTTTGAAGTCTGACGCACATCTTTTGCCTAACCCGAACGATGTACGCGGAGACTTGAAGTATGTCTTCATGTCTACAGGCAAAATATTACTACGGCAACCGATATCGTGCGGATACTATCCGGATACTATATTTTGATACCTGACGACGCGACGCGTGACTTTCGAATGAATCTCGAATTGAAGTGAAATTTGAAGAAACGAAGGAAGCTGTTTTCGCATCATTCGAGTCTTTGCTTCAAATGAAATGAACTGATGATCTTGACGAACGAAACAAGCGATAGCCAAGTCATGTTTGACAGGAGGAATGTTCATCGGGACTCGATAACAAGAAACACAGTGACTTACACGAAAATGATTTAGTTCGAAATTAAGCGATTCTGCGGAAAGTTAATTTTCTTTGCTTTGTTTCGAAAATGCAGAATCCTGATTGAGGTACATGCATATTTGTAATCTACATTAGAAATGGAACCGATATATTTGCAAAAATCACCTTCTTGAAGCCCCTCGATGGAACTTGGTATGGGAGCGAGCTCTCAGTTTGTTAGTTTAGTGTCTAAAAGCGAAGTCATTATTTTGCTTTTAATCTCGATTTAATGGTTTGAAAAAATTTCGTTGTGCCCAGAAAACGAAAAGGGATTTGTAACGTGAAAGGAGACGTCATTAATTTTCAAAAATTCAAAAGCAGTTTTCTCGGTCAAAATCAAAATTACGTTCATAAAAATATGTTCATTGCATTATACTTGCCAACCGGAACACAGTGAACACATTTCCATTGACAGAATTTTGGTTTTAAGCAAATAAACTGATTCTGAATTAAAAAAAAATTATGACGCTTTCAGGTGAATGCATATTCGTAATCTGCATTAAAAATTGAACCGAAATCCGAAATTTCATCAACTTTGGTACACTGGAACTATTTTAAATAAGTGCTATAACATTTTCAAAAATCACCATCTTAGCGCCCCTCGGTGGAACTTTGTATGGGAGCGAGCTGTCAATTTGTTAGTTTAGTGTCAAACAGTGAAGTCATGATTTTGGTTAAATATTGATTTAAACATCGAGTTGAAAATCTATGAATTCTAAAATAAAATATTGTTGTGCTTAGAAAACGAAGCTCTCTGTTTCAAAATTAAAGAACCCAATTGAGGATATCAACCAAGTCTTGTGCATTGTCAGGTTGATCAAATATTATTCTAAAAAAAACTGATTTTAAACACACGAAACGAACGTTTAAACACACGACACAAATCACACCAACGAGGACAGTTTCCAGACAAACCACACACAGTCAGCGCGCAACGGACAAAACAGAAACGTCACATCGTCACACGCCAACAGACCTTGGTGGAACTTCCGGCAGAGCCATCGCACGTACTCGTACGATGCGTGCAGCTCGTTGCCGTAGATTGCCCGATTGCCACCGTCCGGACCGCCGATGTCGGCCACCTTGTCCATGAACAGTGTCTCTAGCATATTGAAGCGCTTCCGGTACTCCCAGAAGCTGTATTCGATCGTTCCCTGGTCAACCCGGTCAGAGTCGGTCCCGTCGTCTTTGGAGTGGTCTTGGGATCGGGGGGCGTTCGTCGTGTGTTCGTCATGGTCTACTGCGATCATCGCCGCAGTTGACAGCTGTACGGGGGGTCCCTGGGTGGTTTCGGTGGACGGTGGCGACGGAGTCCGTTGCAGTAGACGTCGATTGAAGTAGGAACGATGCAAAACGGTTTTGTTGACCGTTTTGATGGACTTCAAACTTGCGATCAGGGCCTCGATGCGGGTTAGATTGGTGCAGATGGCCGCAATGTGCAAACTGTTAGCAAACGAGGGGTGCGACGGCGGTGATGATGAAGCTGTTCGAAAGCGAGGGGTAAGCAAGTGTTGTTATTTCGCAAAGCAACAGAAAAATAAATGAAACTGATGGATTACCGCTTGTCGGAGATAATTTAGTTCTTGTATTATCCTGCCACAGTGTTGCACCGGAAGTGTTTTGTGTGAGAAAAAGTTATTTTGCCCCGGATGGGATGCTGTTAGTTAATTAATTACGTTGTGTTGTTGTTCACTGGAAAGCAGCCGCCGGCCGAACAATAGGGTGGTTCCATCTACAGCTAATTCCACCATCTTACGAGAAAAGTTCTTGCCAACCAACCATTCATAACCTCCGACGACTATCGTCTTCCATCCAGAGCGAAAGTCAAGTCCAATTACAGACCCAAACGCGGAAGAGGAGTGTGATTAATTTCATTCCGAAACGCGCGAAAAATAGCGGAAAATTGGACTTCAGAGCAAAAGTTTCTCCATTTACTACTACTACTACTACTACTTCAGTTAAGCTTTCGATTTCCTCCGGTCGTAGGTAGGGAAGGCCAATTTAAGGCATCAATGAAAGGACCCCGCTTGGAAGTGGGGCAAATCGTGAATAATTACACATAAAAAGCAGACATTCATGTTGGACGTGGAAAGCTGGGAGCAGTTTTATGATTAATTGTGTTATTTTCCCGTCTGCCAAATGGGGAGACGGCGTCGTGGGTCAGAATCAACTCTGTCGAGAAACTATTAATTCCGATAGAAGCAGAATGGGGTGCGAAAAAGTTGTTCAATTTAGTAGGTGCCAAGTCGAAGTTAATTTGATGGCGGAGGAAAGTGCAATTTGTAGCGCCGCTATTGACGGTCGTCGTTCTTGCATTGTTTTCGGTTGGAGAGTTTAATCGCGGAATGCTCTGAATAGGATGAAGGCAGTGAAGACTTGATTCGGTCAGCGTTGCCAGAATGCTGTCAAGCTTATCGGTATCAAATGTTTAAAATTAAAATCGATATTTATCGGTTTTTATTATTTTAATTAATTTTATATTTTTGCCGATTTAGAAGGTGAAAATTCAAACTCTTGCACTAAGAACGTCACATTTAGATTCCAGGAGAAGTCGGAAGAAATTTCCGGGGAATATTTGAATTAGCTTCTGAAGGAAGCCAAAGCTGTTTCCAATTATTTTGCACAAAATGATGGACCTCATTATAATGAGAAACTTGCTCTGTTTCGGCGTTGTAAGTTTTGTCCCTCTGTGATGCATTGCTGGCCCATTGTGACAATGTACACATTTACCACGTCCCAGAAATAAATTGCTCAATTTGGCTAGCGCCAAACAACCTAATGGGGAACCACTTTTCAAAACAACACCACCACGCACTCGTGAACCGTTTGGCTAAAAGCTCCAATTTCGGAAACGTCCTTTCGTCCATCAAGTCAATCCACCTCCACCCCCCATTCCTTGGTTTTCGGCATAGTAGTAGGCCCTGCCAAAGTCCATCAGCTGGGAGCTGATTAATTACAAACTATTTACCCACGGCCTGCTGTGCCGGCCGAAAGCTGTTTCGCTTAATATTGCCGCCATAGTGATTTTCGATCGTATGAGGAGTTAGTATGCGTGCATTTAGGAAGAGAAAGTAGTAATGCGGTACACGAGCGTGCATGAGTGACAAATGAGCACTCTCTGAAGTGCGGCGTGATGAAAATAAGCGATTGTTACATTTGGCCAACACCGTTCTCTGTGATTAATCGTGATCATTAATTAATCAAGTCACATATGTTTACCGGTTCTCCGCGATTGACTGCATGCTAATGTGTCGGTTGTTATTCGAACCCATCACCCGTATATTGCGATCGCTATCTTTCACCGTCAAGAAGTACTCACAGTTTTTGTCCCCATGCGACGTCGACGGTGATGGCTTTCCCGTCGAAGCAATGATATCCTTGTTGCTATCGTAAATGTTACTGGAATGGTGTTCGAGGTGTTTGTTGGACGAGGTGTTGTTCGAGCTTGCCGGTCCCGGTCGAGCACCACCCTCATTCGATTCATGCGACTTCGTTGGACCCCTCGCGGTGGTTGCACTCACTTGAATTGCATACACGCAGGCAGTTGGGTTGCGATGTTTTTGTTTTTTTCAAAATGATTTGTTTTGGACGGACCATGAAGATAATTTTCGATTGCATTCGTAAGAGATGTAAGATCACATGCACCGGATGCGGCGGAGAGGTTATGTTTGGAAAATGTCGTTGCGTTCGATGATTGTTTGATTTTGTTCGGTTTTGCCAAAAAAAGTAAACGAAAAAAAAAGAATGAAATAAATATAAAATGAAATGTAAATAAACTCAGAAAGACAAATAAAAACTCATCAAAGGGAAATACAATTAAACTGCTCGAGGGGAACTGGGAACCGAAATTCGGCATTCAATTTCGATATTGCTCGTTCACGCATACTTTCCGCCATGGGTGTTGTTATTGGATACCATTATTCGAGGGGTGGGACACTTTCAACTGTTTTTTTTTTAATCGGCTATGTACTTACCGTCTTCGACGCACATCAGGCCGTCGTCCATCAGTTTGAGTCCGGTGGGACACGCGCAGGAAATCTTCGGACTCCGGCTGTTGATCTGCGGTGCTGGCAGGCAGAGATGCGAGCAGTGTCCGTTCACGGCTTGACAGTGGTTGGTACCGTCCGGTTGACGGTACGGATGGTACACGTGAATTGTCATCGGGTGTTGGAGCTGTCGAATGGAAATGGATTAACGAAATATTCTACATAAAGGAATAGACGTTATGATTCAATACCATGTGCATCGCCGTCACCGGCTCGATATCCTTTCCGTTGAACTTGCTCGCCTTGAACACCGACTCCTTGTCCCAATCGGTCCAGTAGATGTAGTCTTCAAAGGTAGTAATCGAGAACGGATGCCGCAGATAGTCTGCCGAATATAGGACTACCGTTCGCTTTGATCCATCGTAATCGCAGGAAGAGATGGTGTTCAGTTTGGCATCAACCTGAGGAAAAGCCGAGACATCTGCGGTGAACTTTTTCAACTACATTTGACAGATGAAACTTACCCAGTAGACACGCTTACGAACCAAATCCAGCGTGATACCGTTTGGCCATTTGACTTCGTAGGTGACGATCACCTGCCGATGTGTACCGTCCATTCCGGCACGTTCGATCCGAGGGGTCGTTCCCCAGTCAGTCCAGTACATCCAGCTGTCAAAACAAAATCAACATTTTCATCCAACTCACGGTCGGTTCGAGTTGTCGCGCACTTACCCGTCGATTGGATCCAGTGCAATCGCTCGTGGAATCTCCAGATCGTCCTTGATCAGAATCTTACCCATGTTGCCATCGAAGTTGGTCAACTCGATCGTCGCCTTCTTGATGTCGGTAAAGTATATGTGGTTGTAGATCCAGTCCACGGCCAAACCATCCGAAGTGACGGTTTGATCCTTCACCACTACCGTTTTGTCGGACCCCTCGTCGATTGGTGCCCTGTTAATTAAGGTTAAACATCAACACCCTCTGTTTACCCTTAAGAAATAACCTCAATCTTACTTGTAAATCCGCTGCTCGGAAACATCGCTCCAGTAGATCATTCCGGTACGGAAGACAAAGTCCAGTGCCGTCGCCGATTTGGTATCGTTAACGATCGACGTCATCTCGCGGTGATCGAGCGAAATCTTCCGAATGTCGTGCCGCCGGGCAAACAACAGCGAAGCGTGCCCCTCGGTCGCCTTGCACTTTGTATGGTCCCGTGGATCCCGCAAGTAACCCGCCATGCACTCGCACTTAAACTTACCGATCTCGTTGGTACAGTGCTGCGAACAGGATCCAGCCTCTTCGCATTCGTCAATGTCCTCGCAGGTGCGATTTCCCACCAGTTTGAATCTGTCCAAATTTAACCATGCGTTTTTAAGTCCATACCACCCATCCCAATCATAACCTCAAACTTACCCTGGTTTGCAATCGCAGTAGAATCCAGCAGGAGTATCCACACACATATGCGAACAACCTCCATTATTTTCCAAACATTCATTCTTTCCGCACTTATCCGTGGGTTCGTCCTGGAATTCCGGACAATCGGGTTTCTTGTCGCAAACCTTAGCCAGTGGAATGCACATGCCACCACCGCAGTCGAACTCCGTCTTCGGATTACACTTGACAGCAGGGCGATCCGCTGAAATCGATTGGTCTTTTAACACCACTAGGCACTTTTTCCCAAAACCAAGCCAACTTACCACAATCGACCTCATCGCTTCCGTCCGAACACTCCGCCTTCCCGTTGCAGTGGAAGTGCCCATTGATGCAGGTTTTGTCCTTCTTGCACTGGAATTGGTCCGGCCGGCAGGTCACATTTTGACAGATGGGCGGCATTTCATCGTCTCCCTGAGGGCAATCCTTTTCCCCGTCACAGATCCAGCTCTTGTGGATGCAGGTGATCCGATCGCTGCACTGGTACTCGAGCGAGAGACACGGGTTTACGGTCGAGGGTGTCGAGTTTGTACAGCCCTGTAGTAAGGGAGGGAGAGAAGGGGCGTGATTGGTCAGGTTAGTTTAAGTGTTAAGTGTAAATGAGTAAACACCGAGGAAAAGATCCATTAAATTGAAGTGCTCTGATCCGAGTCTGATCTAAGGAATCTTCCGTGCACTACAGTAGGATCTTCGGGATGTCCGAGGTAAGTTCGGATTGGTCTGATGACTTTCAGTAAGTTAAAAAAGAATAGTCATCACGTATTGTTTCGCGTTTGTTTTGATATTGAATGAGTGGGGAATGACTGGTTTCAATTCGCAAAATCGATGCGACGAAGAGCAGAGGTGGTAAATGTCAAGAAAATGTTATGGGAAAAATATCGTGACATTAGTTTCCCATTCAATTTAGCGAGTTGGTGCCTTCCCGGAATTTCGAAAAAATATTTGACTTAAATTAAACACAAAATCGAATGTGATTGAGCCAAATCGAATTCTTCAGGGGATATAAAAATGTACAGTCTTTCGATCAGCACAAACATATCTACGATCTTAAACTAAAACTAACCCTGGTGAAGATTGCAACCTCTGGATCGAAACGTTGACGATGATAAAACTGTAATCAACAGTTTTTCTTGATTACTAAAAAGCCGAAACCGAATGGCTAATTCTTGCAGATCTTTAAACTTCCCCAAATATTTAGACTTTCCTTATATTTTCGATTCTTCCCTAAAGCAATTGGCACTGTCCTAAAGATCTCTGAACTTCTATCATATTCTCTAGACATCACTAAATTTCTCAAAAGTTTTTAAAAGTTCCCAAAATTTTCCTTATTTTGCCTTGAAATTGATTTTTTCCTGAACCTTTCACAGTTTTTCTGATCTTTTCGATACTTCCATGAAGCTCATAGAACTTCCTGTAAAATCTTTAAACTTCCCCAAAGTTCCCTAAATGTTCAAAAAGTTCTTAGAACTTCTCTTATGCTTGCAAATTTTCCAGTTATTGCAGTTTCTTTTTTATATTTCCGTGAATTTCTTGGAACTTCTGTGCAATTTCCGACACTGGAGTGACAATTTTTAATTTTTAACAGAATATTTCATGATTTTTGGGAATTTCTTGAAAGTCAGTGGCGTCGCCTTAACCTCAATCTACCTGTGCACCAACACTCAAAACATAAACAATTATCAAAATATTGCTTGCAATGGATAGATATCGAGTTAACTAGAAGATTAAGTGTATTTTTCAACCGATTCGAATATGAATATGGCATTAAATATGTTTTTGAAAGTTGGTGCACAGGTAAAAAGTGAGGTTACACGACGCCACTGTTGAAAGTTCTTACAATTAATTAATGATATTGCTCTGAAGTTCTCTAATCTTCCTTGTAATACTGGGAACATCCCTGCAAATAATAAAACTACTCTAAAATCAGTATACTTCTTTGCAGTTCTGTGGACTTCCTTGAAATTATCTAATACCCCGTAAAGACTATGGCTTGTATCATGTAATATAGACTGTCTTGCAATGAGCACTCATACATATGATTTACAATGAAAACTAGATGTATGAGTGCTCATTGCAAGACAGCCTATATTACATGGTATAAACCATAGTCTGTACGGGGTATAAAGCTGCCCATGTAACATTGCGAGTTTTATCGAGGTTTTAAAGCATGCTAAAAATCTAAATCATGGTCTACAGAACCCTCATAAAACCAAAATTGTTGCTTGGGTGTCGTAAATTCTCAGAATTACTTGGTGCTTCTGTAAAGTTCCTTCAATTTGCATGAAGTTTGCTGAATTGTCCTTAGGTTCACTGATCTTCTTTGATGTTCTCAAAGCTACTATAAAATTCTCATAAGTCTTCTGGACTTCTTAATACTGCCCTGAGATTAATTGAACTGTGCTAAAAATCTTTAAATTCTTCTGAAACTCTCAGAACATCTGTAATGTTTTTGAAAAAATTCAAACGTTTTCTGAAATTTTCCAGCGTCTCTAAAATACTTGGAACTTCTTAAAGTTTCTCCAAATTCTGCTGATGTTCATGCTGCTGTCCTGATCTATCGATCACAGATCTTTTAGTCGGAATGTTTCTGATGTCATTGTAACTGCCGTTAAGATCTCTAAGCCTCCCTGAAGATCTCTAAACTTATCTTCCCGTAGGTTTTAAAATTCTTCTTTAAAGTTTTCACATGTTTTCCCAGTTCTATGGATTCACCTGAACTTTTCGTCTCTTCCTTGAAATTCTCTGGCTATCTTGAAGTCCATAGAACTTCTTAAAGGTTCCTGCAGTGACCCTGAAGCAGATGGAATCGCCTTGAAGTTTTCTAAGTTTCCTTGAAGTGCCCACAATTTTACAGAACCTAACTATCTCGCAGTCTGTTTCATTCCTTGGAACTTCTTTACAGTACGCATTTTATGGACTACTTCTTAAGTCTCTGGAACTTCCCGGAAGTTCTTGCTACTCTTCTGTTGATGTTTCTGGATTTGCCCTGAAATTGATAAAATTACTCTAAACATCTCGAAACTTCCCTTTTCTGTATTTCCGTGAATTTCTTGGAACTTCTGTGCAATTTCCGACACTGAAGTGACAATTTTTAATTTTTGGAAGGATCTCGATATTTTTTTCTGAATTGAATGGAGAACTGCCTTTAGGTATTCATAAGTTCCTTGAGATGATCGGATCTCCCCTGAAGTTTCCGAAATTTTCCAGATAATACTGGAAATTTTCTGAGGCCTCAGAACTGCTCGAAGTTACGTAACTTCCTTAAAGGTGTTTAATCACAGCTGATGATCTGGTAAATTCAGTAAAACATCGCCTTAAATGCATTTATCCAATGCAGCCTGCTAGAATTATTAAAAATGGTTCCGAACGGTCAAAGAATGCCATTTTGATGATTCAAAAACATCGCCTAAAATGCATTTATTGCACTTCTGTTGTACCACAAAAAAGGATTCTAAACTCACTCAAAACCCGCAATTTGCATTATGTTCACCCGGGGGACAGTCCAATGCAGCCTGCTAGAGTTATTAAAAATGGTTCTGAACAGTCCAAGAATGCCATTTTGATGATTCAAACATCGCCTAAAATGCATTTATTGCACTTCTGTTGTACCACAAAAAAGGATTCTAAACTCACTCAAAACCTGAACTTTGCATTATCTACACCCGGGGGACAGTCCAATGCAGCCTGCTAGAGTTATTAAAAATGGTTATGAACGGTCCAAGAATGCCATTTTGATGATCCAAATATCGCCTAAAATGCATTTATTGCACTTCTGTTGTACCACAAAAAAGTATTCTAAACGCACTCAAAACCCGAAATTTGCATTATGTACACCCGAGGGACAGTCCAATGCAGCCTGCTAGAATCATTAAAAATGGTTTTGAACGGTCAAAGAATACCATTTTGATGATCCAAATATCACCTAAAATGCATTTATTGCACTTCTGTTGTACCACAAAAAAGCATTCTAAACGCACTCAAAACCCGCAATTTGCATTATGTACACCCGAGGGACAGTCCAATGCAGCCTGCTAGAATCATTAAAAATGGTTTTGAACGGTCAAAGAATACCATTTTGATGATCCAAATATCGCATAAAATGTATTTATTGCACTTCTGTTGTACCACAAAAAAGCATTCTAAACGCACTCAAAACCCGGAATTCGCATTATATACACCCGCGGGACAGTCCAATGCAGCCTACTAGAATCATTTAAAATGGTTCTGAGCGGTCAAAGAATGCCATTTTGATGATCCAAATATCGCCTAAAATGCATTTATTGCACTTCTGTTGTACCACAAAAAAGCATTCTAAACTCACTCAAAACCCAAAATTTGCATTATGTACACCCGGGGGACAGTCCAATGCAGCCTGCTAGAGTTATTAAAAATGGTTCTGAACGGTCAAAGAATGCCATTTTGATGATCCAAATATCGCCTAAAATGCATTTATTGCACTTATGTTGTACCACAAAAAAGCATTCTAAACGCACTCAAAACCCGGATTTTGCATTATGTACACCCGCGGGACTGTCCAATTCAGCCTGCTAGAATCATTAAAAATGGTTCTGAATGGTTAAAGAATGCCATTTTGATGATCCAAACATCGCCTAATATGCATTTATTGCACTTCTGTTGTACCACAAAAAATGATTCTAAACTCACTCAAAACCCGAAATTTGCATTATGTACACCCGCGGGACAGTCCAATGCAGCCTGCTAGAGTTATAAAAATGGTTCTGAACGGTCAAAGAATGCCATTTTGATGATCCAAATATCGCCTAAAATGCATTTATTGCACTTCTGTTGTACCACAAAAAAGCATTCTAAACTCACTCAAAACCCGAAATTTGCATTATGTACACCCGGGGGACAGTCCAATGCAGCCTGCTAGAGTTATTAAAAATGGTTCTGAACGGTCAAAGAATGCCATTTTGATGATCCAAACATCGCCTAAAATGCATTTATTGCACTTCTGTTGTACCACAAAAAAGCATTCTAAACTCACTCAAAACCCGAAATTTGCATTATGTACACCCGGGGGACAGTCCAATGCAGCCTGCTAGAATCATTAAAAATGGTTCTGAATGGTTAAAGAATGCCATTTTGATGATCCAAACATCGCCTAATATGCATTTATTGCACTTCTGTTGTACCACAAAAAAGCATTCTAAACGCACTCAAAACCCGCAATTTGCATTATGTACACCCGAGGGACAGTCCAATGCAGCCTGCTAGAATCATTAAAAATGGTTTTGAACGGTCAAAGAATACCATTTTGATGATCCAAATATCGCATAAAATGTATTTATTGCACTTCTGTTGTACCACAAAAAAGCATTCTAAACGCACTCAAAACCCGGAATTTGCATTATATACACCCGCGGGACAGTCCAATGCAGCCTACTAGAATCATTTAAAATGGTTCTGAGCGGTCAAAGAATGCCATTTTGATGATCCAAATATCGCCTAAAATGCATTTATTGCACTTCTGTTGTACCACAAAAAAGCATTCTAAACTCACTCAAAACCCGAAA